CCACTCGATTAATCAGGAAGCCTATTCAGCGGCGTGACTCATTCGCAAGTGTTCGGATATTTCTATAAGATGACAAGGACCAGCATTTCACCTTTACACCCTTAAATAATATTTCATATTCTCCACTCTGTTTTCTCTACATTTCCTATGGTAATGACAAAGAGAATGTGTTTGACAATCAGGAGCTTCTTAAGTTGGTGATCATTTCCTTTATTCTCATGCCCTGTAAATTTTATTAGAGGGTGATGCTGTGAGGAAAAATAAGAAGTCAGTCCAGTTAGGGATTAAAGAATTAACAACAATGTCGGTGAGTTATAACAAAATGTATGTCTGATTCATTTCTAGAAACTTCGCCGGGACCGCATGGCGTGCCCTTCAGAAGAGGATCGTCAAAGTCTGCAAAGGACTAAGGAGAGTTTTGAAAACCGCTGGATAAATGTTCGTCGCACTGTCTCAGCGAAGAGAAGGCAAGCGGAAGAAAGAATGGTGCTGTGCAGAGAGTTTTGGAACGAGTACGAGAAGTTTGTGGAGTGGATTGACGAGACGGAAACCGCTGTCAAGAAATCCGAGGCAGCAATGTCATCAGACTTGGAGGTCTCAAAGAGTAAATTGAAAAGATTTGAGGTGAGGCTGACCTAATAGTTGGAATCCTAATTATTCTGCACGATTATAATCAGCCATTTTTTTTTAGCCCGGTTTTTTTTGGGGGGGAAGATTTTGACCCGACTTAGAGTGTCCATTGTTTTGAAACTTATCATTTCTACGACAAATTAGGATACGCAAATAATTCTGTCTCTGATTTTCCTCTAGGTATTTCTGGAAGACATAAACTCTCATCGTTCGCAGCTGGAACGTATCATCAAGCGGAGTAAATATCTGCAGCTGGAAGCCAATACTACTTCTGCTTCCGATATCAGACTTGGAGTGGAGTCAATACAGAGCCGGTGGGGAGCGATTCGTAGTCGCGTAGAAAGTCTTGTCCACCGCCACAGCAAGTTGTCAGATAAGGCGGAGAAATTCGAGGTTCTTCGTCAAGAGGTGTACAGCTTTTTAACAGAAGCGGAACTCAAGCTGATTACCCTCGATCCTTATACTTCAGAGGTGGAACCAAGAGTTCAGCTTGAGAAACTTAAGGTACTAAGGCTCTGTTAACCCTTTAGCTCCCAGAAGTGATTGACAAGTAACTTCTCCTTACAATATCCATAGAGCTGACGCTTGGTTCCGAATGTCATACAGAGCTGTGTATTAGCTCGTACTGACTTTGACGTCATTTGCTGAATAATGGATCTTGCATAGCTTCAAAAATCCGAACGCGGGCTTTCTAACAATGAGAAGAATGTACTAGACATCATGATCCATGTTTTTATCTCAAGTTGACATTTATTCCCTCTCAGGGCTTACAAAGACTCATCAATATGAACTATGCGAAGCTTAAAACTTTGCTTCAAGAAGGAAAAGCCATGCGAGAGTATTGTTCACCGTCGGAATTCCAACCAGTACAACAGATGATGGACGAACTTAACTCCAGATGGCAACAGGTACCGTTTAAATCTTGATCAGGGCTGTCACTAATTTTGAACATGGAAGGTGCAAAAGAAGAAGAAGGCGGTCGACGGTGCTGAGTAACGTTAGCGCATTGTCACAAATACGCTTATAAATCCACAGCAACAGATATGTTGATAAGTATGGGGGTAATTTTTAAAATGTCGAAATCCTTGATATCCCTCATCCATTAAGACATCTATTAAGCATACTTAAACATACTACTGCTGAGGACTGTCCAGCTCTCGTATCGATGTTGTTGTAGCCCAACCTACCCTAAAGTATTGTCTCACTGGATTGTCATTTCTGTAACAAATATAGTTTTTAATTCTCTCTATTTGTGTTTGTTCAGGCCCTCCACTGCTGCATGACGTGGATCTTGGATCTAGCAATTCCCAGTCCTCGCTCCAGTGCCGCGGCAGCAGCTGAAACGAATTAATTCGTCCCGGAATAACATGTTTAATGTTTGTGAGTTTTGACTTAAATTGTCCTTTTTGAAATCTTGGAAAAGATGGCAGACAATGATTTCCCCGCTAAACTCCACCTCGTTTGTGCCTTTTTATTTTTCTTGAGCGTGACATTGAGCTCTTACTGTACCCCGCACAGTACCCCTCTACTCTTACTTAGGATAATCAATGGGTACTGGTGAACTTTCGGGAAACTTGGCGAAACTGCTGGAGGGCGGGAAAGAGGGGAGGGGGGATTAAACCGAACGCCATCCAGGAAGGTTCTTCGCAATGCGATTTTGCGGAAACCGGAATACTCTCTTTCCATTTTTAGCCACTAAGCTTGTGCGAGTTATTATGTTTTTGGAATAATTTGTCGTGTGAGACCATAATCATGTTACCCGTCTTGAGATATTTCTTGTTATAAAATTAATGAGATTAAACGTGCGCCCTTCTAGGTTGATAGCTTTGTTTTGATTGGAGAATAGTCGCTCTGTTGTGAGGCGTAAGATCCACGCCCATTTATAAAAGGCCTGGGGGTTGGGAAAACCCGTAACAGATATGCGAACCCTCGAGTGTGGGTCGCGTGGGGGTTTGGAAAACCCGTGACAGATATGCGAACCCTCGAGTGCGGGTCGTGTTTGCATAACTATCGTTTATTCTTGCTACAACTCAGCTGATTAGTTGAAGCTATCTGAAGGCAGAAAAAATCATGTGGCTGAAATCTTTTTCACAAGCTGCATCCATGATGATTTGCTGCCGGCCAAAGGAAGCTGAGCTGTACTGAATTTTTTTCTCTCTTTTGTTTTAGGTTATACTTGCAATTAAAGGAAAAAGGTCATGATTATCTCCGTTTGGAAAGTACTTTTTATGAGTATATTTTTTTCGACAAATGATCTTGTACATAGAGATCAATACTTGGTTTATAATTGTG